AGGGAGAGTCCTCGGGTCTCTTTGGGGTCGCAGAAACCCTACATCTTGAGGTCCCAAAGAGGGTTAGGACCCATTGGGTGGACCCTGAAAAGGGGCCGAGTCAATGTTTAGAGTACGCAGGGTTTTGGGCTCCCTAAACCCTAAACCCTAAACCGTTTGGGTTTCGTTTGTTCATGAATGTATTGGGGGGAGCCCGGGGGATCAAAACTTACTAAGGTGTCCAGTACACTTGAGACAAAACCTGTGAAGCCCAGAAAAGCTCCATTAAAGGATATAGGGTTTGGGGTCCAGGTACAAACTCCTCCGTTTAAAGACTAAGCCATAAACCAAAACCCTAAGTTAAGACCCTAATCCCTAAACCTTCCACCCTAATCCCTGATATACCCCCTACCCATAGGCCCCATAGTAGTTCCTTTTTGTGGCTTGTATGTAGGATGCTATTCGGTAATCCCCAAAAAGGAACTACTATGGGGCCTATGGGTCCCTAATTAAACCTTAAACTTAGGGTTTAGGGTTTAGGGTTTAGGGTTTAGGGTTTAGGGTTTAGGGTTTAGGGTCCCTAAACCCTAAACCCTAAACCCTAAACCTTCCACCCTAATCTCTGAAATACCCCCAAGGTGGACGAGGACCCCCCTTGCAGCTTGCTATCCTACGTGGAGCTCACCTGCACAGGGGGCCGCGTCCTGCGCAGCGCAAGCGCCTTGGTCTGAGAAGTTTAGGGTTTAGGGTTTAGGGGTTTAGGGTTTAGGGTTTAGGGTTTAGGACCATATGGGGGTTTCCGAAAATAGGGGACCCTAATATAGTACCCTAAATAGTAGGACCCTTATTATAAGGACCCCAAAATCAGGTACCCCTTATTTTCGGAAACTCCCAAGTACATGGCCCAAAGGGTCCAAGTAGCAGTATACTATATACAAATAAGGTACATGGCTCCCTTGGGTGGGGCATGATGAGGGTTTTTGTCCAGGTTTGGGGCTTAGGGTTTGAGGGTTTAGGGTCTTGGGTTTAGGGTTTTGTATGGTTTAACATTTAGAATATATGACATTGTCGGACCCTGTCTAGCCTCCTCAACCGCGAAACACTCGTAACCGCAAAATCCACAGCCCCTGAGCTCTGCCTTCCGACAGGAGCGATAGGCTCTACTACTTGGAGGATCGTGGGACTTAGTAGTTCTCAGGAATCTGTAGCCCTAGTTAGTTACTAAGTCCAAGTAGAGCCAGAGAGGCTTGGAAACACATGTTGAAGGTTTTGGGGCCCAAACAAGAGAGACGCATGTCTCTAACCCCAAGGCTCTAAGGACTCATGTTAAGAGACCCTAAACTCTGAACCCTAAGTACTCTCTGTTATAGGACTTTCGGTTCCGTTTTGGGTTCCCTAAACCCCGAAACCCTAAACCCTAAACCCTAATCAGCCCTTAGAAAAAGTTATCTGATGGGAGGGTCGGGTCTATCATGTGTAAAAAAGAGCCCTAAGTATCCCAGGCGTGATGACCCTAAACCCTAAAACCTGAGTATCCCAGGCATGGTGACCCTAAACCCCAAGTATCCCCAGGCATGGTGACCCTAAATCCTACGTTAACCCTATAAGTATCCCAGGCATGGTGACCCTAAGCCCTAATCCCTAAGTCTCCCAGGCATGGTGACCCTAAATCCTACGTAAACCTTATAAGTATCCCAGAACCCTAAACCCTAAGCCCCAAACCCTATAAGTATCCCAGGCATGGTGACGCCACAGCAGTTGCTCCTAGCTGGTGGTTGTCGTGGCAGTTTCTGGCAAGATGGCCAGGCGGCTCAGTGCCGGACCTTCCAAGACCCCCTTAATTAAGAAGGGTTTGGGGTTTAGGGTTCAGGGTTTAGGGTTAGGGGTTTAGGGTTTAGGGTTTAGGGAAGTATATGTTCAGACCTTCCAAGACTCCTTAATTTCATAGGCCCTTAGGGGATTCTAGGGTCCCTGAAGGGTATATACAGGGTATATAGTAGGTATATTAGGGTCCCAGGGTTAAGGGCCCATACTAGGGGCCCATGGGTTCTACCTTAGATTAATTAAGGAGTATATATGTTTTTAGGGCTCCTTAAAGGGATCTATAAGGGTTTCCATAGGGTTTCTGTGAGGGTACGATAAGCCTTCAGGAATATATACCTTAAGTCACTTTAGGGATCCTACTATAACTGAAGGTGTATTCGAAGGTCTGGGGATGTTTATCGCATGGCGTCTTCAGGAATCAGGCCCGATACTCCTATATACTAGTACTGTGGTGTAGGGTTTCAGTTTTCGGGTTTCAGGTATGGCGTTTAGGGTTTGGGGTTAAGGGCCTTAAGGGTTTCAGGTTCGGGGGTGAGGGTATGAAAGGTTCTTAATGCTTGAAGATGGCTTCGGTGATGGTGATGGAGATGAACATGGTGATACGGTTTAGGGTTCAGGGTTTAGGGTTTCTGATGATATGCCTTGTGGTGATATCGATGAAGAACAAGACGATGAGATGCGCCCGGGGGCCTGGTGACCTAGTGTTGGGCGGTGAGCCTAGTAGCAGAGTCAGTAACAGTTAAACCCCACACCCTAAGACCTAAACCTTTAAACCCTAAACCCTAAACCTTTAAACCCTAAACCCTAAACCCCGGCGGAGTGTATATAGTTTCTATTTACTACTCTGTCTGTGTTGGCGGTCCTACACGGCTCAAGGTTTCGTTGCTGAGATTCCCTTGGTGCGTTTCAAGCTGATGCAGTAATCCAAGACGGTGGCATCATGGAGTTTTAGTTGTTGTTCACTTTTTTTCAACGTTTATAGGTTTAATGAAGCATTACGATACCAAGAGGGTCCACCCTAATTCTGATAATGGTAGTGTATATGGACCCTCTGGGATAGATTCTAAGAAGCCCTAAACCCTAGACCAAAAAACCCTAAAACCCTAAACCCTAAAACCCTAAACCCTAAACCATAAATCCTATTTAGGTTGGGCCTTGCTTCAACGATTGGGGGCTTACATGGGTTTCTATCGCCTAACAGGAGAGCCTCTACGCTGAAACATGCAAGCCTCGACCCTCCCCCTAAATCCTGGCGTTTAGGGTTCAGGGATTAGGGTTTAGGGTTTAGGGGTCTAGGGGTTTAGGGTTTAGGGGTCTAGGGTTTAGGCTTTAGGGTATAGGGGTTTAGGGTTTCGGGCTAAGGTAGGTGACAATTTGGGAAACTTTATAATTTCCTTGGTGGTTTCTATAGAGGTATGTGTGCGCAACAGGTGGTGCTGGAAGACTGGTTGGAGATTCGCGCCGATTACGAATCCGCTGCTCTGTTGGCAGCCTTACGCAGCCTTGATTGACGAATTATGTTCTTAGACATTGAGGGCTTAGGCATTAAGGCGTTGAACCGCCGCCCCTTTATAGAGATAGTTCCTTCAAAGTTTATGCCCTAAGCCCTAAACGAACGCTATGCCCCAGTTCATCGTCACGATTTGACATCTGAAGTTACATTGCCTAAATAAGCGTTTTCCCCTTCGGGTCTATAGTGTGCAATGATTAGGAACTTGGGTTTGGGAAACCTAGTAACAAAGGGAATGTATCCCGGGGAGTATAACAACGCCATGATCCGGAAGCGCTTGATTTCTCACACTTTCGTGACCACAAAGGTGCAATTTACGTCCAGAACCCCAAGAGTTTGTAGTGTACAAGCGCACGGCATGTCATTAAGTTGTCGTGCGAAAGTATTGTAGTCAGAGACCACCCGGCAAACTGTTTCTGAGGCGTTTCCTTGGATTTCAGCCGTAGTTGTGACGACGTCCTGCTGCTCTTTCTTCCGTGGGCTTTTTGAATTTTGCATCCACCAGAAACGTTGCTTAAACGCCCACCTAAACCCGAAGCCCTAAGCATACCTAGACTCCAACAAGCTGCTGTAAGCCCATCTTGAAAGCCTTATAAGAACCCTGACATAAAAATAGAAACATACCGCACTCCAACACCTTGTTGAAATATGACACCATATAAATCCTGAAACTATAAATTCTACCCAAAACCAGCACCCTAAACCCGAAATCCCCTGAGACCGAACCCTGGGTATCCACTTTTAACAGACCACGAGGCTTCTATGAAAGGGTACTTGGGGGGGGGGGCGGGGGCCGGCAAGCCCTAAAAAGAACCCTCAGACTCAACCCTAAACCCTAAACCCTAAACCCGAACCCCTAAGCTCTAGACCCTAAACCCTAAACCCCAAACCCCTAAACCCTAAACTCCCTAGACCCTAAACCCAAAGCCTCCAGGCACAGCAACCACTGAAATCCTGCAACGAGCTGCGACATGGTCCCATGAGGCCTGGTCCTCCAGAGAGCTTGGGCACGACTTTGGGTTTAGGGCTTAGGGTGTTTAGGGCTTTTTCAAACCCACGTAAGCACCCAATCGTTGAAGCAAGGCCCAACCTAAATAGGGTTTGTGGTTTAGGGTTTAGGGTTTAGAGTTTTTAGGGCTTTTACGGTTTAGGGTTTAGATTTTAAATTAGGGTTTTAGGGATTAGGGTGTTGGGGTTTAGGCTTTCGGGTTTTGCGGGACCTCGAGAAGCGTTAACAAAGCAGGTGCGGTGAAGCAATCGTAGGGAAGATTTGTTGTGGATGGTTGGCATGCGGTTTCGTGGGCTCCAGTGCACACTAGATCTACAGAGTGTGTGGTCTAGTGGTGGCCGCTGTGGAGCCTTGATCTGTGCGCAAGGGCTTGATGACAAACCTAAACCCTAAACCCTAAAAGCCCCAAACCCTAAACCCCCAAACCCTGAACCCTAAATCCCTAATCCCTAAAAGGCCCTAAAACCCTAAGTTTGTTTCATCTTGTAATTCGCCGTTCAAGAATTGAAGCGATGTAGAACCGACCAGCAAGAAACAGGGCACAAAGCAATCCCTGTGGTTTTAGGGCTTCAGGGTTTAGGGAATTGGGGTTTGGGGTTTAGGGTTTTAGCGTTTCGTGTTTAGGGGTTTCAGCCATAACATAGCTACATATGCCCTCTTTGGTTCCCTGAGATTCATTATCTACTTAAATTCCGGAAGTCTGAAAACGGCAGCCAAGCCTGGAATATAGAAGGTCTATATGCCTTATGGAAGCCTTATAGAAGCCCTATATACCCTAAACTCCCCACCTGTAGTTTCCTTTTAGCTGTATGTATAGACACCCGCATCAATCGTTACGGCATCTGCAGCAAACCTAGCTTAACCCTCCTACAAAGCCTTAGCGCTTCTTGTAGGATCCTTAAGGGAAGGTGGCTCAGGGGGGGAGGGTCCTAGGGAGCTTTAGGGAACCTAAGGGAGTACTAGGGAGAATTGGGGAATACTGGGTTATATACCCCCCTTAGAACCCCCTCCCAGCCAACCCTAAACCCTAAACCTTAAACCCTAAACCCTAAAC